CTGTAAAAACTATGAAATAAGCTATAAATACAGGCGAACACTGCTATAATACAAATAATAAGGCTTATTTACAGGAGAGTGCTGTTATTATTGGATTTTTCTGATTTTAATCTGAATTTTAACTAATAAAAGTCATTATCTGTGAAATTATGGTAATTATTGTTGTTTTTACTGATAAAAACTGTATTTTGACAGTTTACCAATGCCTATACACTGATTGAAAAACATTTATTCAATGTTTAGGTTGTTAAAACTTTCATAAGTATAAGTTATCTGTCAATTAACAAACAAATCCATGTAAAATTACACAACAAATACTTTTTTTTACTGTTAATTGTCACTAATTTTACATAATTTTAGAAAACAGTATTAAACTTGAACTTAACAGCTTAACCTATTAAATAAGTAGTAAATATCTGCAACAAAATCATGTATTCTGATCTTTTTATGTGGAAAAATAGGACATTTTTGTTAAATAAGCAGTCATTTTATTTACAGTTGCAGACTTTTCACGTTATTTTACATTAGATGTGTAAATTCACAGGATACTTCTGTAAAATAAACAGGAAAAAACCCGTAAACGTACAGATTTCTCTTCCAGAAGTTGTTGATGTCTAACATTGTCTCTGCGCCCCTCTGGAAGATGGTCCAGGATGCTGACAGGAGGTTCAGAGGGGTGCTGTCCTGTGAGCAGATGGGCCCGGCAGGGTATCTCGGGCCTTATCGGGACTCGATTGTTTCCGTGACACAAAACTGCGTTCTCGTGAGCAACATACTCGGGCAAACCTGTGTCTTCCTGAGTAAAGGCATAGCCACGTGCAGGCAGGCTGTACGTAAGTCTGGACAAACATCCTTTTCTTTATCCACATCTGTCTGCATTTATATTAGCATCACGTCGAACACGATTTCTGACTTTAGCTGCCACAACAACTGTCGCTTTCAGTTGAGCCTTTCTAAGCTCCGCCCCTTTTTTGCTCTCTGCTCCATTAACAGTTGAGCAAGCCTCGGTCAACTTCCTCCTTTCCTGTACTTAGCTATGCTACGGAAAAAAGGGGCGGGACTGAGGGAAGGTCAATTATCTATCTATCATAATAGACCTTTTTCACAGCAGCCTGTTTTACATGTAGGGTAGAGTTTACAATAGTAGGGTAAACACAGTTGTTACCAATGACACTAATTAATGTTTCAACGGTTGCTGCTTTTGTGCACGTTGGCTCACTGGAAACACTCTGCCACACTAAAATAAACCTTAATTAGTATCATTAGTTGTTTACCCTACTATTTCAGGTCAAAATGGCCGCTGTGAAAAAGGTCTATAGTTTATTATTTCCACTCCTGCTGCTTTTCTCTGGTATCCTGCTGTCAGTAGGGAACACACAGGTTTGGAGACTGACTGAGCACCAGTGTTTAGGACTTAGTGGCATCTAGTGGGGAAGTGGCAGATTGCGACTAACTGAACACTGCTCGCGTCTGTATTTGACGACCTGGGAATGAGAACCGGCTGTGAATCGCGTGATAAATGCAAACAAACCCCATTTAGAGTTTGGTTTGTCCGTTCTGGGCTACTGTAGAAACATGGCGGTTCAAGATAAACAATAACGTCTCATTCTAAAGTAACGAAAACACAACCGTTCTTATTTTCAGGTGATTATACAGTAATGAAAACATACTTGTGAATATTATATTACATTTCTTTAATACCACTCTCAGTTTAATATGTAACGTTATCTTACCTTAACAGCTAGCCTGGTTACAAACTCCATCTACCGCAGTCTATTAATCCCTGGAGTTTGTCGTGTATAGAAAAGAGTTTGAATTTGTCAGTTTTGATAACTTCCCGTTATTTAAATACAACCTGTTACACTGTAAAACCTGATGAATTGGTTCAACTTAAACTGTTTGAGGAAACCAATTAAAGCGTTTTATTAAGTCAAGTTACTAAAGTATTTATTGTTAAATTTGAGGTAAATCATTTCAGGTAAATTATGTTTATTTGTACTAATTAAACACAATTTATCTGGATAAAGTAACTTAAATGCATCTTTCAAATTTTTAATTCACCCAGTTTTCTTTCATTAAAACAAATTATTACATTAACTGTCAAAACAGCTGACGTATGATCATTAATTTGTAATGAATTGATTATTAAAATAGTAGCCAATTAATTTAAAATCTTTACACTTTGAGGGATCGTTAAGGATTATTTAGATGCATATTTGGGTTTATGATGATTAATAAACTAAAATATAAACTATAATTTCAGAGCTATACAGCATTATCTATCTATCTCTCTATTATAATGTTTATATTTATATAATTATATAAAGTCAACTTAAAGAAAACGATAATTAATGATTAATTAAATCACCTGGAATTAAAATACTAACATTTAAATTCATTTAAAACAACTGAGTTGCTTCAACAATTGAATTCGTTAGGAGGATTCATTTATGTTAATTTACTTGTGTTGTCAGGTTTTACAGTGATGATTGATGGACAGTGATGTTGTGATAGCAGAACATGGAGGGTTTAACAGTGAATTGATCTGGCCTGTCGGTGTAATGATTGATTGATTGATTGATTGATTGATTGATGCTCTCTCTCTCTCGTGTTGGTTTCCGGTCAGACATTTTTTCTCGCCTGACGTCACGAACGCTGTTGTGTTTAGACTTCCTCGCTGCTCCTCCTGTTAACCCCTGAGGGTTCTGGGATATGTCTGCCTCACTCTCTGCCCTTTAAAGGTTGCGTTCATTGTAAGCGAGCGCTGGAAGAAAAAAAAAATAGAAACCGCTGCATTCTTCTGTGACCTCTCGATAGGGATCTGCCTCTTTACACTGAGACAGTTTCACTCTTCTCTTTTCATCTTTTACCTCTCAGACTTTTTAAGTTTGAGGTTCACGAGGAGGCTGATTGTTATGGAGGACTCTGATTTAGGTTTGGGCATCATTCGACTCACGACGCTGTCGGCGGTGTGTTTGCACACTCTGAGTTTGTTATGATGCTGTTTTTCATGTGAATTTGATCAGTGATTGACTGTTATTTCTCAACAGGACAGAGAGCTGAGGCCAGAAGAGATGGACGGTAAGTTTCTTTAATGTTCTCTCTTTCTTGTATTTAATGTATTTTAAAGATACAAAACAAAGAGTCTGCAGGGAGTTAAAAACTCAAATAATCTAAATTTTAGGTCTTAAATATGATTTTTTTCAGGTCCTAAACATTAATTGGATTATTGACATTAATTTGTATAAAGTTGCTTTTTTCAGTCTCACTTTTAAATGTGTTTTTCAGGGAAACTGTACTTTTTATTTTGCCGATATGGATCATAAACTGTATAAAATATGGAGGTTTCTGAAGAGCCGTTGTGAAGCTCAAACCTCATTTGACTAATACTGTCGGTCTAAAGAGCCACATCATCGTGTCACTGTATACGTCTCCGTTAGCTGTTAGCAAGGTTACACTAGCTGGTTATATAACCAGCTGTTGGTCAACTAATAGAGCTTTTCCACCTTTTCGACCCCTCAGATGGACGTTTATAAAAGTCTGTTCAGCCCTCTGTACGTTAGTATCGTCTGACTGAATCTCTATGGTCCTGCGTCCCTGTTTCCTTCAGATATCTGCTTTATTTTACTGTTTCGTGTTTGCTTTCAGCTCTATAGCAGTTCAGTTACTGTTGATGAACACTTTCTGGTTTTGCTGCGTCATAATAAAAACGTGCCAATGACAAAATAACCACTGACTTTTATTTGAAATGCAAAGAACTGGTTCAAGATTTGGCTCCGAACCACCTTGATGGAAAAGGGGTATCAGTGAGGTCGCCATCTTGGCAGTCCAGACTGCGTGGTTGGAGCCGAATGAAGCCTGGTTACCGAAAACAGCCGCCTGTCACTCAAATCAATCACGCCCTTAATTAAACATAACTTTAAGCCTTAATATAATTTAAACAGGTGAGTTGTACAGTTGTCATGAACGAGGAAATTAGCTCTAGAGACCAAACGGCTGTAAACATGTTTATTTCTGCTGTAAAGTTGAACATTTTAATATGAGACCTTATGGAGACTCACTGCTGGAGCCTCTAGTGGACGTTAGAGTAACTGCAGGTTTTTTTATTCTTAAACTTAAATCTTTTTTATTCTTTTACTCTTAAAAAAGTCTTAAATTTAGCCTGTTAAAACCTGTAGAAACTGTATTATATTTGCTAAATAACTATTTCTTTTTACTTTTTTATTGATCAACAGAGTTGCGGGACGCTTTCAAAGAGTTTGACAAGGACAAGGACGGTTTCATCAGCTGTAAAGACCTCGGGAACTGTATGAGAACGATGGGATACATGCCCACTGAGATGGAGCTGATTGAACTGAGTCAACAGATAAACATGAACTGTAAGCATTGAACTGCCTATTGCATCTATATGTCATTCATTTATCCTGTGTGTGTCGTGGTTTGAACTTCTGTGCCACAATCTTTTTTTCCTTAAGTGGGAGGTCATGTTGATTTTGAGGATTTTGTAGAGTTGATGGGCCCAAAACTCCTCGCCGAAACCGCAGACATGATCGGGATAAAAGAGTTAAAGGAGGCGTTTAGAGAGGTAAGAGCCTCTGGATTCAGACGGAGATGGTTGGTTTTAATGCTGTGAGATTTCTTTTTAATTTTTACACTTTTAATATCTCCTTTTGTTTTCCCAGTTTGACATTAACGGAGACGGTGCCATCAGCACATCTGAGCTCCGAGATGCGATGAGGAAGTTGTTGGGCCAACAGGTGAGATTCAGATTGAGATCAGAGAGACAACAGAGAGTCTTTAAACTGTTGTTGTATGAATACTCACCGACCTTTTGTTTCCAGGTCGGTCTGAAGGAAGTAGAAGATATCCTGAGGGATGTTGACTTGAATGGTGACGGACTTGTTGACTTTGAAGGTAAATCACCTAAACAAACTTATTTAAAGGCATACCATGCAGGGTTTCCCTAAAAAGAAGAGAAAGGGTCTGAAACATAAACCTGTATTCTATGTAACGACCAGCAGGGGGCAGCTCCACTGTTGCAATGAACACACAGGATTACCATTACAGTCTAATGGAGACAATGAATCGACTTCTCAGTTTGATTTATGAGCTGAGTTACACACGTTTTATCCTGATGAGTTTTATTATTTCAGTCTATAGTTTTCGACTTCTTCCCATTACAGGCATGAAATGTTTTTTTCAATTAGTAACCTTTCCCTTTGAAAAATTTTAAGGATTGTGCTGAGAAAATGTAACAACAGAAATGGCCAGATATGTCAGCATTTGGTTTTTCAACTTCTGTGAAGAAAAGTAAAAGTAAATGAAAATTGTTATTTAAACTAAAAGCTGAATTTGCCAAAAAAAAGAACATAATAATTTTTCGTATTGATTGTTTAAAAATTATTAAAAAATACATAAAATAGACATGAGAATTGTATAAAAAAAGTCCCCCTTAACAGGAGAAATAATCTACTCAAAATTCAATCCAAATCGACAAGTTTTACACAAAACTTATCCTGCAGTTAGTTTGTTTTTCACTGTTTTGGGATTCGATTGTACAGTTTTTAGGGTACAGGTTTGGAACCCACTTGGCACTAAAAAGTATGTTCTGATCTGAAGTTTTGGTGGCCGTTGAAGCTTGGAACGACCTCACATGAAGAATGTAAACATCATGCTGATGGAAGAAGAACTGAAACTAGAATTAGTGAGACCAGAAACCTCATCAGAAACTGTTTTTACTGAGGGAATAATCAACTGAGAATCGATCATTTCTCCATAAGACTGAATGGTATCGGTTTGTAGTGACACCAATGAGCTGCCCCCTGCTGGTCGTTAGAAGAAATGCAGGTTTAAGACTCACAGACCCAGAAAGTTCTTTCTCTCTGTCTGACATTAAGGTCTGCTGTGAACTTTTATTTCCTCCTTCTTTTTTCGCAGAGTTCGTACGAATGATGTCTCGCTAACATCGGGAAATGATCGGTCCTGAATGTGAAGCCGTTGTCCTTCTCTGTACTTGACCAAGTATAAACAACTGAGGACGGGACGCGCCGAGATCTCTGAGCCACACGAATCTGAATGACACTGGAATGAAAACTCCTCGAATGTTAACGGAGCGAGGAGTCACCTCACACTTTCAATCAATAAGTGTTCTTCCTGAAAACGTCTCCAACTGAGGCAGAACTTGCTGTAGCCTAGCTGATGATTGTCCGACTTGTTTTTGCACTTTAATTCTCACTAAATAACTTCCTGTGTGGATAGATTGCTGGTGTCTTGTCTCATACTCCACTGTAAAACCAGATACGTTTATTTAACTAAAAAAAAACTGTTTAAACTGATTACATTGAACATTTTAGGTTGAACCAACTCAATTTTTTAAGTTGAACAAACATTCTTGATCAAGTAGCTTCAGTAATTTTAAGTTATACTGACTTAACTTATTAAAACTTAAATAAAAAGCACTTAATCAGGAATGTTTCTGTAACTTACAAAACTAAGTTGGTTTAACTTAAAATTAATAGTAAAAGCTACTGACTCAATAATATTTCTTTACTTAAAAAAAATAGTTAGCTTTACTTAAAATATTCAATGTAATCTGTTTCTAAAATTGTTTTGAGTTAAAATAACTTATTGCACTGTTAAACCAGATAAGTTCATTTAAATCAAAGAAACGTTGAAACTGATCACATCAACAATTTTATGTAAAACTAACTTAATTTTTTAAGTTTAAGTTAAAAAACATCCTTGTTTAAGTAGCTTTAGTAATTTTAAGTGACACTGACTTAATTAATTTCTATTTATATTGTGAAAACAGTAAAAAGTACTTAATCAGGAATGTTCCTGTAACTTAAAAAACTAAGATGGTTTCACATAAAATAATAGTAAAAGCTGCTTAACAAGAATCTTTTTAAGTTTAAAAAAACTGAGTTTGTGTAACTTAAAATTTTCAAAAAATGTTTTGAGTTAAAATAATTTATCGCACATTGTAAAACCAGATCAGTTAATTTAACTCAAAAAACTGTTAAAAACTGATTACATTGAAAATTTTAAGTAGAACCAACTAAATATTTTAAGTTCTAAAAACATCTTTGATCAAGTAACTTTAGTAATTTTAAGTGGAACTGACTTAATTTTGTAATTTTTATTTGTACAGTAAAAACTAAGTTGGTGTCACTTAAATTTACTAGTAAAATCTGCTTAATCAAGAATGTTTTGAACTTAAAAAATTGAGTTTGTGTTACTTAAAATGTTCGATAAGCAGTTTAAACAGTTTTTTTTTAGTTAAAATAACTTATCGGATTAAAATGTCTACATGGTAAAAAAAAGAAAAGAAAAAGTCGCCTTTGATGTAACCGAGTCTGGATGAGAGACTTCCTGTATCAGTGTTTCAGTACGTTTCCACACAGTTTGTGTTATAATAGACATTGTTCGTCCTTCGTGTGACATTGGTGCTCCGCCCAGGGACCTGTGGGGCAATATAACACCTGTAATGTAACTGTGTGACCATCTGTGATTCTTCACTGTGCCGGTCCAGTCTTATAAAAGCATCACCGTCTGACTCGCAACGAAGAGACGCAGCAGAACTCTGAAATATACGTTTCATATGTGTTATTCTCTGCTGGTCGAGAGCAGCTGAAACAGTATTTAAAGCCTCCTGTAAGCTGTGTGTGCAGACTGTCTTTAAAGGTCCAGTGTGTAACATTTAGGAGGATCTATTGTCAGTAATGTAATATAATATTCATAGGTATGTTTTCATTAGTGTGTGATCACCTGAATTTGGGTATTTTTCTGTTTTTGTTACCTTTTAATGAGCTGGTTTTATAGTTAGAAAGGTTCAACTGGCCAACAAAGGCAAACTTTAGTGACTACACTTTTGCTCTTTGAACTTAATATTCTCTATTTTCAAATTAAATATAACTTCTTTAAGCCGTCTAGTATGAAATGGGACAATCCACCCTTTTCTAGTTAAAGTCGACATGAAACAGAAATCAGAGAGCTGTTTGCTTCCTCATATTTATGTATTTCCTGTAAAAACAAACAAGTTCTCTGTCTGTCTCGGAGGTTGTGTTCACTGGGAGGCTGCTGAGATGATATTATTGGTTGAAATCAGTTAGTTCATGCTGACGTAAGCAGGCGTCACATTGTTGTTTTACAGGAAGATAAAATGATTGGATTTTGATATAAAAAATACAAAGAAATTGAGTTTTTGTACATTTGTTGGCATAAATTGTTAAATAGGGAAACAATATAACTGAGGATGAGATCTTAAAGGGTTAAACTTACATTTTAATAATGATTATTAATGAGAGATAAATAATAACATGTGCTTATTATGGGGTATTTATTGCTTATTGAGTAAAATATCTGAGCCTAAACAGATGTTTCTATGTTCTACAGTTTAGAGAAAATATACATTTATATGTTTTATATACATTATTTTTATTTATTAAAAAACAACCTGACGTCTAATTAGTGAAAGTTCAACATGTAGAAATCATAATCCATAATAAGGTTTTATATTAATGATCCAACTGGAAATCAATGAGGCAGAACTTTAAAAGAA